AAAGAAAGAAAGAAAGAAAGAAAGAAAGAAAGAAAGAAAGACTGGACAAGTGTGTCCATCTGAGCCTCAGTTTCCCCACGTGTGCTATAGGGACAATGCTGCTGCTCTTGTTGGGCAGTCGTGCAATTCCACAGTAGGTGTGCCAAGCACCTGGCAGCCCGGCACACAGGAGCTGCCTCACAGAGGCTTAGTAGTGTGCATGAAAGACCTGGGAAATGCAACCATGCCTGAAGTGTCAGGGCCCCGCCTCACCTCCTCCTTGATCCAGGCACTGTACCCCGGGGGCGTGACCCCCAGCTGGATGATGCTGGCCGTGGTGAGCACAGCCATGCACAGCGGAGACACAAACTTCCACATGTAGAAATAGAAGCGATAGGGTCGGAAGCCCAGCATCTCCGTCAGCTCCTGCATGAACCTGCAAGGTGTAGCAGAGGGTCCAGCGGTTCACATTTCCACCACCGTGCCTGCCGCTATCTCCACAGCCCCCTCCTCCAGGAAGCCTTCACTGAGCAGTCCCCCTTTCCTGGGCTCTTCTATTCTTCACAGTCAGTGCTTAAGGTGCATGGCCTGGCTGGCCACTGGGAAGGCTCTGCTGTCCTCCTCTAGCCTCACTGACCATGTCCATCATGCCCCACCCAGAGATGTACGAGAGCCCACACACACCCCGGGCAGATGGACAGCCAGTGGAAAGCTTCTGCTTTTCCCAGCACCCAGGCCGCACACTGGCCTGGCACAAGACTCCTCCTGCTGCAAAAAAAGGAGGAGTGCACTTCTCTCTCTAGTATCCAAAGACAGAGGGAAAGTGAGAAATCAACTCCCAGGGGTGGCCCCTTGACTTAGGGTTTCTAACCATGGGTCTCTGAGTAGAATTCCAGAAGGCTAGGGCAGCTAGTAGCCTGGTGGTTAAGGTGGCTGGACCCCATATGACTGATTGCATAGGCTGGGTCCTAGACCCAGCAGCTTGAAAAACACACCAGGCCCATAGGCGTGCATGCCCAAAATCCTGAGAGAAGACTGTAGGAGAAAGGACTGCAGTGTGGTTATTCCCCCTCCCAGTGGGGGTGCTTTCTCACTCCCCCCACCCCATCTTTCTCTCTCTCTGGTAAGTGCACACACCTCATAGCACAATGAAAAAAAAAAAAAGAATTCCAGGAAGCCACAGGCTATGGACTTGAAAAGCATTGAAAAATCTTATCTTGGGGGACCAGCAGTTAGCATAATGGCTATGTCACTGAACTCCCATGTAGCTGACTGTGGTCAAGTCCTGGACCTGGTGGCTTAAACTCATGCCGGGTGCGTGTGCATGCACACCCAAGATCCCGAGAGGAGAATGTAGGAGAAGGGATTTCGGCATGGCCACCCTTGGGGGGTGATTTCTCACTTTCTATCTTTCTGTCTCTCTCTGTCTTTCTGGTGAGTGCACGCACCCTATAGCAAAAAGCTCTCCAAAAAAATTTTTAAAAAAAAAAAACAACTAATCTTCGCCTCAATTACACCTGACTGAAATCTGGCATTTCTAATATAAATACAAACAACTATGGTAGTTTTAACAGTACCTGTGACTGTCACCAATAGATAAATCAGATGTTTGCATATCACATTACAGTCGTTGAAGATAACCAGAAACATTACTTATATTCATCACTATTTCAAGACTATTTCTGTAAAAGCCACAGCCAGATCTTGTAAGTTAATGCAGTAAAATTAAAGCATACATACCTTACTACATCATAGATTTTAAATATCTTGCTTTTTTTTTTTTTTTGGATAAGTTTTCGCTATAGGGCACATGCGCTCGCCAGGCAGACAGAGAGGGACATAGAGACAGAAAGCGAGAAATCACCCCCCAGAGGGGATGGTCATGCTGCAATCCCTTGTCCTCCAATGTCCTCTTGGGATCTTGGACACGCACGCACACGCGCCCGGCGTGAGTTTTAAGCCATCGGGTCTGGGACGTGAACTGCGATCGACTACGTGGGAGTCCAGTGACATAGCCATTACGCTAACTCCTGGTTCCCAATATCTTGCTATTTTTCAATATAATTAGTTCCCTATATATTTTATCTTATGCACTTAAAAGTGCTATTCTGAGAAGGGGAAGAGGGGCTCCCCCATGCTGAAGGGGTCTCTGGCACAGAGGAGGGTCGGAGTCCCTTCTGGCAGTGTCTTCCAGTCCTGGCTCACAGGGGTGGAGGCAAAGTGCTCCTTTCCCGACCATGCTGTCCCCTCCTGCACTCTTCTGGGAAGCTGAGGCCCCCATGAGATAGCCCGATCCCAAAAGCAAGTCTAAGCTTCAGGGAGGGTCAGACTGCATGGGTTTTCGAAGCCCCCGGTCCTACTAAGGACAAGGACAGTGTGGCCACAGACAATGCCAAGTAAGAGGAGAGACTCGGTCCCGGAGCTTCTTGTGGACACAGATTTATCCTTCAGTGAGGGACGAGGCCAGAAGCTGACTTAGAAGGTGCAGGTCTGCCCGAGACTTAGGCCGTAAGCCCCAATCCTTTCTCACTGCCGAAACCTCCTACCTGCCCGACCTGAATTTGGGGTCTAAACCACACCTTCCAGTGGTGTACCAGACTGCCGAAGTCTGCAGGCTCCTTGAGAGCTGGGGTCTCTTGTACACTCACCAAGCATAACAGACTTCTAACGAAGGCTTGAACCTGGGAAAGATGCCATGGTAATTTAAGGACTCCTGACTCCTAGCCCGGCTCTGCCTCTCTCCAGCCAAGTGGCCTTGGGTAGTCATATCTTCTCCCTGCACCTCGGTTTCCCTCAGTGACCTGAAAGGGCACTTTCAGCTCTGACATTCTGATTCTTTGATCTCCTGCCCCCGTCTCCAGCAGCCCTGGGAACACAGGACTCTCTAGAGAGTTATCGGGGGACAGACCCCTCCTCTTGCTCCCACCCCACCCCATATCCCTCTTACTTCTTGGTTCCATAGATCCAGGCCACAGCGATGTTCTCAAGAATGACGATGACAGTGAGTGGCAGGGTGGCCGAGTAGTCATCAAACATGGTGACAAAGTAGTTTCCGGAGCGCTGGACGAACAACAGCCCCACGAAGAATGCAAAGACACAGCAGCCCACTACAGAGAGCCGGGAGGCCGGTGTGGGGGCAAAGGTGCAGGGTGGGTGGGGCCCTGTGGGTCTCGGGGGGCACCCAGGCCCCTCCCATCACACCCCCTCCTGGCAGGGCTGCAGCCCACCCTGCAGCAGGCCCAGCCCTGCATGGGGAATCCAGATGCGGGGGTGGTGAGCTCCCCCTCCACCAGGTAGGAGCCTCTGGAGGAGCAGCACGTCGGCTGCCCCTCACGCAGTTTCTGGCCTGCACAGGCGCTCCACTTAACCGCCGTGTTTGATTTAAATAACTCAGCGGATTGTTCCCAGGGCCTTTTCCCCCACCTCCATTCCCCCTTTTGAGCACAGGAAGATACTCCCCTGGGATGTAGGTGAGAGTAGCCCTTACACAGCCCAGATCAGCATAGCAGGGCAGAGGGAACTGTGGACACAGCCTGGGACTCGAGTGACAAAGATGGGACAGGATGCAAGGCCAGGGCTGAGTGTACCCTGCCCAGGACGACCCAGCAGGCCCTTGGGGAGAGAGGCAAGTGAACTCAAGAAAGAAGCTGGGTTTTCCAACAGCCCCCTTCTGGTTCATGTGTGCTAGTCTCTGGGTGGTACGACGTGGGTCCCCAGTGGGGAGGAGGAACCCTCTGGACGTGGGGTCATGATTGACTCAGTCAGGCCCTAATCCCTCTAAGGTCAGAGTCTGACTTGATCGATGTCCATGTAGACAGGGCCGAGGGACGGGGTGGAGGCTGTGGGGAGGAGTTACCTGTGAACATCTCCTTGGGCACCTTGAAGGTGTCGATGATGGGCGTGGTGATGCCCGCCATGGTGCCGATCATGCTGCCCAGTCCCAGGTTGATGAGCATCAGGAAGAACATGACGGACCAGAACGGGGAGGCCGGGAAGTGCGTCATGGCCTCGGTGAAGGCGATGAAGGCCAGGCCGGTGCCCTGCACAGACTGCGGGTGGGGGGAGCAGGGCCTATGAGGCCTCCTGGCCTGGAAGCCCGCTCCCTTACCTCCTCCCCTCTCACAGGGATCCCCACCTCCAACTAAGTCCTGTTGGCTTTGGCAAGTGGGTTTCGAACTTTAGTGGTGGGATGGACAAACACCGACACAGGTGCTCCCCTGGGGCTTGGAATCTATAGGTTACATGTGTGAGGGCCCGCCCATGCAACTCCGATGAAGATGCTCGTGTTTCAACAAGCCCAGCTCAAGACTCGCCTCCGCTGAGACATCTCCCCTGTCTGCTCTGGCCACTCCGGTTGCTCCCAGCTCTGACCTCCTGAACTCCAGACCCTAGCACAGTGGTCTCAGCCTTGGCTCCCAGTGGAAGCACACTGGAACTTGAGAAGCCCTCAACCGTTTGGGCTGGATGGTGGTACCATGGCAAAACATAACGCTCTGTGTGACCCACATGGGAAGCCTCCAGTGTCCATCCAGAGACTTCCCTGAGTACGCCGAGCATGTGCATGCCCGTGATCCAGGCTGGCTGAAGCTGGAGGTGGGTCGCAGGCACTGCTAGGGTGCTGTCTCTCTGTGCCTCTCCTTAGCTCTCTTGCTCATAGCAGAAAGAAATAAAAAAATAAACTTAAACAAAAAACAAGTTCCTGTTTCTCGATGATGCAATTGGTCTGGAGTGGAGCTGGGGCTGGAGAGTTATAAAGCCCCCCAGGTGACTCTAAGGGGTTGCCAGAGCCGAGAACCACTGCTTCAATGCTGGGGCCCCTGCTTCTGCAACTGCAGACATCGCTTACATGCACCGTCCCGTAATGTCCAGGGACTGTGAGGGAACACACCTCTCAACTGAGTACGTGTGTGCTTCTCATCATTTTGATGTGATTGAGGTTGGATTATAGGAAAAAATGCTGTAATTCTAGTTTTATTCAGAGGACCACACCTATGAAAATGGGGCAGGCCTCACAGAACACGGAAGGGGGGGGTCCTTTGTGCTGCTAGTCAGCTGGGCAGAAACCAGGGCAGGGGTCTCCTGCTGGGCCCCTTTGCTCTTGACCCCCCTGGGAAGGAGTCAGGGGAGTGGTAGGCAGCTCCCTCTACATTAGGGTGGGCCAGGTCAATGGAGCTGACGGTTTTTTTTTTTGTTTGTTTGTTTGTTTTGAGAGAGATTGTTGCTATAAGGCATGTGCACTTGCCAAAGAGATAGACAGAAAGCAAGAAATCAACCTCCAGGGGGATGACCACACCGCAATCCCTTCTCCTCCATTCTCCTCTCAGGATCTTGGGCACGCACGCACACATGCCTGGCAGAGGTGACTTTTAACGAGGAGCCCAGGCCATAGTCCCAGGAAAGCTTTGCCTTCCCTAGCCCCATGAGGAAGGGCAAGGTGACCCAGGTTGATGGGAGGCACCTCTGCCCCATGTGAGCCTGGGCTCCAGAGGTCCCCAGGACCCTGTGACTGTCTCCCTCCTATTATCCCATCTCGCAGAACAGTCCTTTTGGAAGTATAAATAGAGACCAGGTGTCCAAACTTGGGCTTGAGCATTAAGAGGTGACGGGTCATCATGGCAATGGTGGGACTTGGATTGGGGACAGCTTGGGAAGGCACAGAGCAGGAAGGGGTGATTCAAAGTCTGGGCTCTGACCAGCCTATGGGACCCGAACCCTTCTCCCCATTTACTAGCTGTCAGACCTTGACTCACTTACAAGTTACTCATCTATAAAAGAGGAGACGGGGCCAGCAGGTGGCATGGCGGTTGTGGAGCTGTCCCACATGGCCGACTGCCGTTGGCGTCCTGGACCTGGCAGCTTGCTTTTTCACTTTCTCTCTCTTTCTATCTGTCTCTCTCTGGTGAGTGCACATGCACTGTAGCAAATTTTAAAAGTAATATAATGATAAATAAAATTATACACACACACATATATACATATATACACACACACATATACATGTATACATATATGTATATATATATTTTTTAACAGAGAAGAGGAGACAATATTAAGCCTCAACTATAGAGCTGTCATGAGGCTCAAAGGAGAGACATGGCAGAGGGTAACCCCAATTTAAGCACTTGTTTTCTGCACTCCACGTGCATGGCACTATTCTAGGTACATTACGTACAGCCATGACCACGCATAGGAAGCTCATTCAAGAGATGGGAGTGTCACCCCACATGCCAACTATTGCTATAGGGCATGCGTGCTCTCTGGAAAGAGACAGAGAGACAGAGAAAGAGGAGGTGCTTTCACCTGAGAAAGCACCCCGCAGGGGGATGGCCAGGCCATAATCCCTTCTCCTCCATTCTACTCTTGGGATTTTATCTGCTTTGTCTCCTCCCTAGACTCAAGATACCTCAAGGCAGGGAATTTGGCTCATACCCTCCCTCCCTCTGCCTCTGGACACACAGTGAGTCCTCGCCTACATAAATGAATGACTCCCCATTTGTTTTCTGAGGCCTGTGCCCAAACGCCCCACCACAGCCAGTCCGAGCCCCTGCCTGTCCCGCACCTTGTCCAGCTCATCCTCCAGGAGGCAGGGGTCGAGGCCCAGGGCAGAGAAGCGGTCCTCCTTCACAGTCATGATGACACTGTACATCTCCGCGTAGTCCTTGGTGGTCAGGTGAGAGAAGTTGACATGGGGTGGGATGAGGTCCCGGCTCAAGACATTAGTGTTGAGGTACCCTAGGATTTTCTCAGCATTTTTTCTGCAGGACCGAGCAGAGAGGGCCAGGTAAGAAGGCGGGGGATAAGTGGTGGGCAAGGACCCAGAGGCTCCTTCCAGACACCTAGGCAGACCCCCATGGACCATTGACAGAAATATCTCTGAACCTGTCATGTGGCCCAGGGCCAAGGCCAGAGAGCACGCCTCTGATCTCCTTCCCCGGCCCAAGTGGAGGGGACCTCTCTGTGCACGGCCCACCTCCCCACCCCAGGTAAGGCAGACGGGGAGGAGAAGAGGCAGGAGGAAAGGTGCCACTTACTCAACCACACACTTCTCATTCATGATGTTGGCCTTGAAGCCCAGCACAGCGAACACCACGAGGGTGGCCAACACCGAGGTAAAGAAGTTGATGAAAGACACGAGGGCGGCGTCAAAGTGGCAGTTGTTGTCCTGCTTGTTGTAGCTGGAGAAGGCGATGACACCACCAAAGCCCAGGCCCAGGGCGAAGAAGACCTGTGTGGCCGCCTCCCGCCACACCTGGGGGTCAAGCATCTTGTCCAACTATGGGGGAGGACCATGGCAGGGGAAGAAAAGGGACAGAGATGATGGCTTTAACCAGGTGCAGTGGGGCCTCTCTACACCCTTTCCTCTGCTTGATGGAGTTCAGAGGCAGCATGGCAAGCTGGTAAAAGCCCGGGCTGTGCGACCTTCGCAAGTCCCCATCTCCCCGAGCCTTGGCTTTTCCACGTGTGACACACAGGTAAGAGGAGCGCTGACTGCAGGGGACGGCTGCACGGCCTGGGGAAGGTGAGACAAGCACTAAGAGCTTACACAGCACGTTCTCAGTCTAGTTCCACTGCTGTCATCACTTCCCAGGGCACTGTCACACCAAGGAGCACCGCCCAGGCCACCACATACGGCTGCGTAGTGACAACCCTGGAGCACGGTTCACTTAGACTATGCTGGGAGCACGCACAGTGCTAGAAAACCAAGGGCACCAGAGCCCCCCCAACACCTCCTCCACCTGAGCCATGAGAAAAAGTTAACAAGAACAGCCCCCCTTCTTCTCCCTCCTGCCTGCCCTCCCTCCCCTTTCCCAGAGAAAGGAGACCCGAGGTGCATCCAAACATCTATACACTCTGAGTTACAAAAGGCCGTCCCACACCTACCATTTTAAAGTGTATTTTGACTGACTTCTCCCGCTAGAGGGAGAAGCATGCCCACCAGGTTCTTCACAGCCTCAGCCAGAGGGGATCACAGGCACGCAGGCCTGGCAGGACAGGGAAGCCTCAGGACACAAACTCAAGACCTTCCCGCATGGTTTCAGCATCGAGGAACATTGCGCTATGCTGAACTACCACGGCTGGCCCCCAGAAGCACAAAGTCCAGACACTTCCTAGAGAGAGGGAGTCCCTACCTCATCCCCCATCTGTCCTCGGACCTGACAGGAGCCCAAACCCTAACAACACTTGGAAGGCATGGGGCAGCTTCCAATGGCCTTTCACATCCACATCCACTTTCCGTTTGCTCCTTGAGGCAGGGACCAAGGAGCAAGCAGGCAGGATCCTAGCTCCTGTGGATGCTCCACTCTAGTCTGAGACGGACGCTGCTCACATGATCCCACAACAGATGCAAAACTGCAAATGAGACAAGATGTGTGAAGGCCAGACACCCGGTGCTCAGGGAGTCTGTCACGGGGGATGCGAGCAAGTCAGGAAAAAGGGGACGCTTCCCAGGGGAAGGGTTCTCGAGCTGACATTGGAGAGGTGATGAAAGCTAGGCGAGGCGGGGTGGGAGCATGCTCACGGGGAACAGTGAGGTCCCGAGGTGGGACAGAATGTGGTGTACAGGAGAACAAGGAGGCCAGGGTGGCTGACGCAGCAAGGACAGGCATGATGGCCCAAGTGAAGCTGGGGGAGGCAGAGGAGTCTGATTAAAGGCCCGTATAGTCCTTGTCTTTATCCTAAGCATGCATGTCACCCAGGAAAGCACAGTTTGAAGAGCGAAGGACTCCATGAGATGTGCGCTTCCCAAAGATTCGAGTGGGTGCAGTGTGGTATGCCGTGAGGAAGCGCCTTTTGGGGTCCAGGTGGGAGGTGAAGGCAGCTCTGCCTAGGGCTGGACTGGTGTCGAGGGACAGATTCCAGCAGAAAAAACCAAGCGGGATGGACTGGAGAAGGGGTCCCTGGGGTGGGAGTGGCCTAGGCGACAGCCATATCTCTGGCCTGCACACCTGAGCAGGTAGCGATGGGAACATAAGAAGAATAGGTTGGTGAGGTTGGGCAGGCAAGCTCAAGACATCAGCTCCAGAAAGGCTGAGTTCAACGTGTCTTTACAACGAGGAGAGGCCACGCGGGCAAATGGACCAATGAGTTTGGAGTCGAGGGGATAACTGAGCTGGAGCTAAGACTCAGGAGTAGCAGGCATACCAGAGGGTTTAAAGCTGCAGCTGTGGAGACAGAGGGCCAAGAGACCAAGGGGGGCCTGGGGCCAAGTCAGCCTCCCCATTAATGCAGCAGCAAAGGAAAACCCAGGAAGGCTGGATCCCGAGCATGAGAGACCAGAGGCTGAGCAAAGGACGTCAGAGCAACTCTGCAGTGAGGCGGTCACAGTGGGCTCGACTGAGGCTGTTCAGGGAGCCCTGGGGCCAGAGGCCAGGCGGAGAGAGGAGAGGAGCAGGGGGAGGAGATGCAGCTGACGTAGGTAAGCAAGTCCGCAGAGAAGCTAGCCATGGAGCAGGAGGAAACGGCATTAGCAGAAAGAGGCCATGAAATCAAGGAGGCTTGTTTTTTTCCTACACAGGGACTTCATAAAGTTCACGGAAATGGAATGAAAGTATGATTTTATTTTGGTGCAAAAAATTTTTGAAATCCACACATCATTTTTTCATAATACACTCTTCCATGAACGTTTTGAGGACCTTATGTATGTTGGCTCATTTTTTTAAAGAATTATTTTATTTAACTTTACTGATTTATTATTATTATTTAATTTGTCCAGAGAGAGAGAAAGAAATAAAGCAAGCCACCAGGTCTGGGACTTGAACCATGATAGGTCATGTGGGAGTCCAGCACCTTAACTCTCAGGTCACTTGCCAGACCCTGTTGACTCATTTTTGGTTTCAATGGAGTGACTTGATGATACCGTGAAGTGGATGGAGGACACGGGTGGGGGCAGGGCTATCTTCCATAGAGGACCTTGGCCGCTCAGTGGAGAGAGGATGGCAAGAGGGCAGGGTGTGGCAGCTGCAGGCAGGTTTCGTACCTGTTTCCTGTCTCTGTTGTCCTAGGAATTTCTATCTTGGTGGTAGGAGGGAAATCATCCGCAGGCTCTGAGTGTGCTAGGGGGGCTTGGATGAGTAGAAGTGCTTTAAAATCGTCATACCAAAGCATGGCAGAGCGAGGGGGTGCCCACTGCCCAGGGCCCAGAGCTTGCACGGGTGGCTGTCTGGGCTTCAGCAGAAGAGGAAACACTATCCTCTTTACAAGGCCCCAGTCCCTTGTCTAACCGCCCTGGGGCCACGCTGGTTCTGGAATGCAAGCTTTTGTTTCTAATTTTATTTCAGAAAGGTAATCTGGTACATATGCCACTTAACTGCATAACACCCCCAGCGGGGTCCCGGGCCGCACCCTGTAGTCAACACATTAGTATTTCTGCAGCAGAAAATGAATATTCACACCACGTGCTTCTGCAAAGATATAAATAGCCTCACATCTGTGCAGGTCATTTTGCCTCCAAATGAGTCCTGAGAGAACAAAACATAACCAACTTCTGTTTTTCTGGGATATTTGGGATTTGGGCATTATGGATAAGGACACAGACGTTTGTACTGAGCCTAATGCAAATCTGGGGATTCTGAAAAAGAGAGAGAGAGAACAAGCACAGTCCTGCAGTGAAAGGACTTCCATAACAGACAGGGAGTAGGGGGTGGAAAAATCACTTCCCAGAGAGGAGATGGTCATGCTGCAATCCCTTCTCCTTCATCTCCTCCCGACGTTTTGGGCACTCATGCATACACATGGGCCTGGCATAATTTTCAATCCGCCGGGGTCTGGGACTTGAACCATGGAGTCAGCCATGTGGGATCCAGCACTTTGACCCCCATGCCACCTGCTGGCCCCCTCTTGGGTGAGTTTTAAAAAAAGATCTTCCCAGAAGGCTCCAAGCAGAGGGATTACTCATGCCTGGAAAGCATGCTGGCCTTCACTGGTGTTCACAGACGTCAGTCAGGGCGGTTCTGCCACAATCCACAAACCGGGGTCCTTCTCTCAGTGTACAAGCCAGCCCTCATGGGTAGGCTCTGGGCAGTGTGGAGAGCCCCAACTAGAAGGAAGTATGAGATTTTATAAGAGGGCACGTTGAGACACATGCAGCTCTGGTCATGTCCTTGCATGCTGAAAGATCTCTGATGCTTCCCCGCCATCTTCTAGAAAAGCCTTTTCCTCTCTTACATTCTGAGCGCTATAAATAGTTAACTGGCTACTGTTCGAAGGCACCATATCTTTCCCACCTCTGGCCTTTGCACAGACTGCCAGAATTCTTTTCTCTCTGCCTAGAATTCTTTTCCTCCTACTCATTTTCTGGTGAACTCTTCTTTCTCTCTCAAAATCCAGCACAAATATCACCTCTTTTGCAGCTTTCCTTGGAAGAGGCATCAGGGGCCTTGGGTTCTCGCAGGTACTGTCAATACCTACATCACAGGTTTACATGTCCACGCCTCTCCTTCACCCCTCTGTGTTAGGGATGTAACCCACCTCCTGCTCACACTGTGTGGGCAGCGCCTGGCACATGGAAGAGAGGGAAAGAATGGGGAGGGAGAGAGACAGACAGACAGAGACAAGTTGACTGGTCTCCCCAAGGGTGCAGGCTGAGCAAGAAGAACCAGGGGCTGTGAAGATGTACCAGCCTCTTTGGGCTATGACACAGGACAAGAAAATCCTAGAACTTTAAACTTCTGCTTTCTAAAACGTGATTTTTAATGCTGGCTTCCTCTCCTCTTTCCTCCCTTCCTCTCTCTCCATCTCTCTCATAATTATTTCCTTTTGATCTAGAACAGTCATTACTAAAGCTTCTACTAAAAGAGCAGATTGGGGCTGGCCCCAACGCCAAGGAGCTAGGGGAGTTGGACCCTAACTGGCTGACCGAGGTTCCGATCCTGGCTCCAGCAACTTGAAAAGCATGCCAGGGGACGGTGCGTGCATGTCCCAAATCTCGACAGAAGGAAGAAATGGAAGAGATTGTTGCATGACCATGCCCCGTTGGGGGGTGCTTTCTCCCTCTTTCTCTGTCTCTCTCTCTGTGTCTCTGGTGAGTTCACATACCCTCTGGCAATTTAAAGGAAAACAAATCTCAGACCACCTCTGAGACCAAATACACGCTATCAGTTAGGATTCTCACCACTCCCCAAACCCGAAAGGCTTAGGACAAACAAGGACATGGATAAATTCCTCAGCCCAATCACTGCTCTTAAACAGAGGCCCTCCAGGGAGGACACCACAAAACTACAGATGAGAGCTGGTCCTTTAGCTTCGGAAATTTCTTAGAGGACAAAACATGCACCG